TCCTTCAGCAGCATCAAACCTCATCCTTCAGCAGCATCACACCTCATCCTTCAGCAGCATCACACCTCATCCTTCAGCAGCATCACACCTCATCCTTCAGCAGCATCACACCTCATCCTTCAGCAGCATCATACCTCATCCTTCAGCAGCATCATACCTCATCCTTAAGCAGCATCACACTTCATCCTTCAGCAACATCAAACCTCATCCTTCAGCAGCATCACACCTCATCCTTTAGCAGCATCACACCTCATCCTTCAGCAGCATCATACCTCATCCTTCAGCAGCAACATCACACCTCATCCTTCAGCAACATCACACCTCATCCTTCAGCAGCATCATACCTCATCCTTCAGCAGCAGCATCACACCTCATCCTTCAGCAACATCACACCTCATCCTTCAGCAGCATCACACCTCATCCTTCAGCAGCATCATACCTCATCCTTCAGCAACATCAAACCTCATCCTTCAGCAGCATCACACCTCATCCTTCAGCAACATCAAACCTCATCCTTCAGCAGCATCACACCTCATCCTTCAGCAGCATCATACCTCATCCTTCAGCAGCATCACACCTCATCCTTCAGCAGCAACATCACACCTCATCCTTCAGCAACAGCATCACACCTCATCCTTCAGCAACATCACACCTCATCCTTCAGCAGCATCACACCTCATCCTTCAGCAACATCACACCTCATCCTTCAGCAGCATCAAACCTCATCCTTCAGCAACATCAAACCTCATCCTTCAGCAGCATCACACCTCATCCTTCAGCAACATCACACCTCATCCTTCAGCAGCATCACACCTCATCCTTCAGCAGCATCATACCTCATCCTTCAGCAGCATCACACCTCATCCTTCAGCAGCAGCATCACACCTCATCCTTCAGCCTAAATGTTTGCATGCAGACTTCATTTTCTTTTTGTCACTCTTTGTCCAATCCCCCCCTGAGATTCCTGCTCAGGGTTTGGTCTACCATACCTTACGGTTTTCGACATTGGTCTTTAAGTGTAAGGGGTTACTGAAGGGGACAGTTAAAAATCACCGAACATTTTGATTTTTTCATAACTGTAAATGGTTTCCAAAAGCCACTAACATGCTAATGCATTATGGTCAGAAATTATGTTTGAACCTGGTTTGGACGTACAGACTATCCCACCCCTTCCGTCTTCCTTTACCCTGAAACCTCATCACTGATCTACAGCACTGAGACAACTGTACAAGGTTCTACCATGACATGCTGGCCTAAATCTTATCTTAGAGAGTTGCCTAATTTTACGTATCTGGTACAGCTTTCAGGGTCCCAGTTTTCAGTGATAAGAGGTTGTGCACTTGCTTACATCCCTGAGCTGGGACAGATAGGATGAGCCCCCTGCCTTGCTGGAAAGCACACTGTTGTCATGGTATCAGCCAGTGCATCTAATATCAGCACACTAACTAGTAGGAAAATCCCTCTCTCAGAGTAAACATTACAGCCTTGTTTGAAAAGTAAACAAATGTATCATCCAAGTCAGAGCCTCATCGCAAGGGGAAGGGAAAGTTGGCTTATCCAAACTGTTGTTTACAATTTCTGAGCATACCTGCATTAAAAAGTGGCAGGCTTCAAATCAGTAAATATATATTTTTCTTCAGAATTTACTACTTTTTTCCTGTAAAATGTTAAGAAACTCATATTTTGTAATCATCAAACCAAAGTATTCAATTTGAAATGCCTGGTTAAATCCTTGTAGTGAGGATGTGATATAGACTGGTACAAGCCACATATACTCCATTATAAATCTCAGCTTCTGGAACGAAATGGTAAATGCTGTCAGTGAACATTTATTCTCAAGTCCATGAACAACTGTCTTGTTTCGATGGTACTATTATTATTTATCATAAATGATGAACCCCATTCCTTACTAATAAGTTGTAAATGTAGATAGTTTCAAGCTTCAAGCTTCTAAGCTGACGTCCGATTACTCTTGGAAAGTTCAGACCGTGTACACTTCCCCCAAAACATGGATGTTATTTTTGTAAGGAATTCCTTGACATTACCAAACTTATTTTCACACATTGTAACTATTTGAAAAGCCTTTTCAAGGTGTCTCCTGCTGAGATGCTGCTGTCAGTCAAACCTCACTCACAGGTCCTACAAAGGGGACTGCCTTCACACCTGTACCCATTAGAACTCTATGACTGATTGAATTTCTTGTCAATAATTCAAATTTAAACAGTCAAAAACCATAACAATGTGACATTTATAAAAAGGTGCCAAAATATTTTTCCAAAGTAAATTGTTCTAATTTGTCGTTCCACAGTGTTACCTGTCTCTTTTCTTGTTCCAAATAGCACATTCAAGTATAGAATAATACTTTATATTTCTTCTTACACAAATGTTACAAACATACATCTGCTGGCTGGAACTACTGGGCTCCTTATGGTGGTGATAAGAAGCATGTAGCAGGTTTATCACTGGGGGGTTGGGGAGACAGCTGAACATGGCCAATCTGCTGCACATTCTCCTGTAACCTACCCCCCTCTCCTTCCTCCCTCCTCCCACACCAGTCCTCACAGTGCAGGTCTGGCCAGAGGTCAGAAGGTCATCAGCTATGGCTGGCAGCATCAGACTGGCATAAACCTGCAGGAACACCAGATGCCTTGGAGTTACCACTGCAAGGAACCATGGAACCTTGGCTGGTTGCAATTCAATCAGCATTCAATGAGGCTGTCACCTTTCATCAGAGGACATTAACCTTGATTACAGTCCTAGTTATCAGTGAGAGTTAGTGAGCCCAGTCTCCGAAGTGTCTGTAATAAATTCTGTGTTCTCAAAGATCTTTTCCCCAACACTTGTTGCTTTACTGCAGAAACAATAACTCTCCCCATAAACCCACCATGGAAGAATGATATTGGAGATTTGCTGCTGTGACATTCAATAAATGGAGATAACACATTCAGTGAATACTATCTTTAGTCAGCACAAATAGGTGTTCTGTGAACCAGGCTGCCTCATATATCTACAACTACTATGGTCACTATCTTCAACATTGATGTCTGCACTGCTACTACTGTAGTGTTAGTTTCAGGGATAATTTTCCAGAAAAACAGTTGAGTTGTTGGAAAAAATAATTTCTCAGATGAAAAAATACAAAATTCTTTAAATTATTATTTTTTTTAAATTTCTTGGAATTGGTCAAATTAGTTGTGTTGAAAATTGAATATAGCTGTACATTCAGTGAGGCCATATAGTTTAAGAAATATTCACAACATTCTGGTAAGAAACTATCTTAAACTTAAAGCTAATGAAGGTGTACTTGTGGTTCATCATAATATACAAAAAATGCTTGGGATTATCCTTGCAATGTTTCACTGCCACACACCCATTTCAAAGTAGATCCTTCTCAGATCAAACATTTCTATTTTATTAATCCTTTTGTCATTGTCAATCATGTTTCAGTTATAATCGTTCTTTCTGCCATTCTCTTCTGAAAGCACATAATAAGTACAACAATGCCCTCCTCAATCTATAAATCCCCTCCGGCTATCAGCACATTCCACAGTAATGTGAATATGTGTCACCCTCTGTCATTAAACATACATGGCTATCATATGTACACATCAGCAGGATATAGACAAGCTTGTACAGCCTCCATCACTGTGTGATAACATCATTATTCCATCAACATGTGTCACTCACTGCTTGTCTGTTGCAGTATCAGGCAATGACCAACATGAATTATTCACCCAGACAAGTGATAAGTGCTTGATTGAGGTGAATAATTTATCACACAAGCCACTGGATACTTGCATCACAGCTGCGATCAGAAAACCATTGGCAGTCTGTCTTTGATGTCCTTTGATTGTTAAGAGGAAATAAACACATTCATCATTTTCATTTTTAGCAATTTTGTTCTTTCTGCCAATCAATCATCTGTGCCAGCATTTAATCTTCCTTGTGCAAACATTAAACCATAGCACTAACACAAATGCCAGAACCTGATTCATTAGTAACCATTCTTGCTGAAATGATTGTCAAAGAAATCCAATCAAATTTAAAATTTGGAAAAGAAAAAAATAATTTGCACTTGGTGAGTATCCCTCTGTTTCGCGGGACTGCTGTCAGTTAAATATTGTGATACAGGCTCCCCGCCCTCAGCTGGACCCTACAGAGCTGAGATGAAGGGGAGATATCTGCTCCATTTATATTGACGACAATCTACCCAAATACACTCACCAACCACAAAAGTCAAGACCTTCTCAGTCAAGTTGTAAGGCTGATACACACATATACACTGAAGTACACTAAAGTCAAGTAGCAGATTTAGTGTCATCTTCCTGAGGCAAGGGAGTTTTCTGACTGTGAAAGTCTACTTTCCAACCTTGACGAACTAGGCTTGTAAACGGCTGTGCAGATTTCAGTTGATTGCAGGATTTGCAAAGCATGGGTACCGCCATCTCAGTGTGAACAGATATTCTTTTCATGTTTTAATCATGTGATTTGATGCACTTTGCGAAGTAAGACCCTTCTTATCACAATATAGATATTGATTATCGTTCTGATCGTCTAGACTGGGCCCCACCATTTTGTTTGAAGCAAATGCAAGTAACATGAGAGGTGGAATCTGATTGGTGAATAGGAGGGACATAGAAAGAACATATATTATTTACAATCGAGCCCAGAAATTCCAGCCTAGTTCAGCTAGGGTGGTAACTGGACTTTTACAGTCAGTTAACTCCCTTGCCTCGAGAAGATGTAATAGTGTTGATTATGATGAAGTGTGTGGAATGTTTCGTTTACAACAATGTTAAAACAACATTAGCATGCTGCTGCTGGGATGATGATGGTCTCACAAAGTCATCCTGACACTAAAATGATGCCATGATTGGTGATGATGACGATAATGACATATTCATTATTGATCTGAAGGGTTCACATGTCATACACTTTTAATGATGCCTCTTAAACCAGAACATCAATAATCAAGGTGAAAATATGGTCCATCTTCTCACCTCTCAGGATAACTGTGACATCAGTTCCATCTAGTCGAGACCGATATATTGACTTCCGTCTTGAGCTGATATCTGACCAAAACAGCCAGCCGTCGTCTATGTCTGCTGCCAAGCCGATTATCCTTCCATCGTGCTGAAATATACAACAGTCAACATCAGAACCTGTCCTGACTGATGACTGGGAATACATGAACTAATGGCACATAACAAACACTAAATCTTGATAACATGTCAATTTGCAAACTTGACCAAAAAACTGTAAAATAAGAAGACACAAATTAAATAATTAGATCATGAGTGCTTGACATTTCATGAGTACTGTCCAAATGCTGACAGGGTATGCTGTTACACCCAACCAGGTCATCTGACCAATGCTGACAGAGCATGATGCCACACCCAGCCAGGTCACCTGACCAATGCTGACAGAGCATGATGCCACACCCAGTCAGGTCATCTGACTAATACTGACGGAGCATGATGCCACACCCAGCCAGGTCACCTGACCAATGCTGACAGAGCATGATGCCACACCAAGCCGGGTCACCTGACCAATGCTGACAGAGTATGGTGTTACACCCAGCCAGGTCACCTGACCAATACTGACGGAGCATGATGCCACACCCAGCCAGGTCACCTGACCAATGCTGACAGAGTATGATGTTACACCCAGCCAGGTCATCTGACCAATACTGACCGAGCATGATGCCACACCCAGCCAGGTCATCTGACCAATGCTGACCGGGTATGGTGTTACACCCAGTCAGGTCATCTGACCAATACTGACGGAGCATGATGCCACACCCAGCCAGGTCATCTGACCAATGCTGACAGAGTATGGTGTTACACCCAGTCAGGTCATCTGACCAATACTGACGGAGCATGATGCCACACCCAGCCAGGTCACCTGACCAATGCTGACAGAGTATGGTGTTACACCAAGCCAGGTCACCTGACCAATACTGACGGAGCATGATGCCACACCCAGCCAGGTCACCTTACCAATGCTGACAAAGTATGGTGTTACACCCAGCCAGGTCACCTGACCAATACTGACCGAGCATGATGCCACACCCAGCCAGGTCATCTGACCAATGCTGACCGAGCATGATGCCACAACCAGACAGGTCATCTGACCAATACTGACCGAGCATGATGCCACACCCAGCAAGGTCACCTTACCAATGCTGACAGAGTATGATGTTACACCCAGCCAGGTCATCTGACCAATGCTGACAGAGTATGGTGTTACACCCAGCCAGGTCATCTGACCAATACTGACGGCGCATGATGCCACATCCAGCCAGGTCACCTTACCAATGCTGACAGAGTATGATGTTACACCCAGCCAGGTCATCTGACCAATGCTGACAGAGTATGGTGTTACACCCAGTCAGGTCATCTGACCAATACTGACCGAGCATGATGCCACACCCAGCCAGGTCATCTGACCAATGCTGACCGGGTATGGTGTTACACCCAGTCAGGTCATCTGACCAATACTGACAGAGCATGATGCCACACCCAGCCAGGTCATCTGACCAATGCTGACAGAGTATGGTGTTACACCCAGTCAGGTCATCTGACCAATACTGACGGAGCATGATGCCACACCCAGCCAGGTCACCTTACCAATTCTGACAAAGTATGGTGTTACACCCAGCCAGGTCACCTGACCAATGCTGACCGAGCATGATGCCACAACCAGACAGGTCATCTGACCAATACTGACCGAGCATGATGCCACACCCAGCAAGGTCACCTGACCAATACTGACCGAGCATGATGCCACACCCAGACAGGTCATCTGACCAATACTGACGGAGCATGATGCCACACCCAGCCAGGTCATCTGACCAATACTGACCGAGCATGATGCCACACCCAGCCATGTCATCTGACCAATGCTGACAGAGCATGATGCCACACCCAGCCAGGTCATCTGACCAATGCTGACAGAGTATGGTGTTACACCCAGCCAGGTCACCTGACCAATACTGACGGCGCATGATGCCACATCAAGCCAGGTCACCTTACCAATGCTGACAGAGCATGATGTTACACCCAGCCAGGTCATCTGACCAATACTGACCGAGCATGATCCCACACCCAGCCATGTCATCTGACCAATGCTGACAGAGTATGGTGTTACACCCAGCCAGGTCATCTGACCAATGCTGACCGGGTATGGTGTTACACCCAGTCGGGTCATCTGACCAATGCTGACAGAGCATGATGCCACACCCAGCCAGGTCTTCTGACCAATGCTGACCGGGTATGGTGTTACACCCAGCCAGGTCATCTGACCAATGCTGACAGAGTATGGTGTTACACCCAGCCAGGTCATCTGACCAATGCTGACCGAGCATGATGCCACACCCAGCCAGGTCATCTGACCAATGCTGACCGGGTATGGTGTTACACCCAGTCGGGTCATCTGACCAATACTGACCGAGCAGGATGCCACACCCAGCCAGGTCACCTGACCAATGCTGACAGAGCATGATGCCACACCCAGCCTGGTCATCTGACCAATGCTGACAGAGTATGGTGTTACATCCAGCCAGGTCATCTGACCAATGCTGACAGAGTATGGTGTTACACCCAGCCAGGTCATCTGACCAATACTGACCGAGCATGATGCCACACCCAGCCAGGTCATCTGACCAATACTGACAGAGTATGGTGTTACACCCAGTTGGGTAATCTGACCAATGCTGACCGGGTATGGTGTTACACCCAGTCGGGTCATCTGACCAATGCTGACCGAGCATGATGTTACACCCAGTCGGGTCATCCGACCACATGCTGGTAACTCTTCATGGTTACCTAGCCTATCACTCGCCCTGCTCGGCCCTATTAAGAAGAACTTCAGTCAGTTCACTAACTACCAGAGAATGTGTTTTGTTATGCAGTTTCAGGTTGGAGGCCAGGGTTTATGCAATACCCACACAGGAGCAAGCAGGTGGTGGTACTTATTCTCCAACATACTTTGCAGAAGCAAGTCCTGCAGGGGAGTCTTGATCCCATAACATGGTGACCCCCTATCTTACATGACAATCAAACCCTTTCATCTCACTTCAGAGAGTTTCTGGAAAAACCTGACATAATCCCTATGTATTGATCAACAGGAATGAACAATCAATTGGGCCACACTGAAGAAGAATACCAGTGGCAATGCAGTGTCACATCACTTCCCGAGATGGTTATCTACTGCAGCATGGACCCCGCCAGGCGGAACTGATGCAGAACCAAGTCCTGACTGAAGGTGTTTGTATAGGAGGCGGCGGCATTCTTCCCCCTGACAAGTGATGGTAACATTCTAACAATAGAAACACCTCTATGTACATGATGTAGCTCACCTGATTCCTGACAAGAGTTCCAGAAGCCAGCGTTTGTCTTCAGACATGCACATTTAAGATCGGATGGTAAAGATGTGTGTAACGGTTGCGTCTAATCATACCCTGACATCATGGATCTTTGTTCATACTATCAACCACTGGTCTGCCTGGGCTAGACTCCATTACTTGTAATGCCACATAAATCAACACTTACTCACTCACTCACATGATTCATATGAAGAATGTGATTAGTGAAATCCTTTGCGTACCTTCACTACTAAATATTCAAATCACACTTGTACATTCTATGCCTTTCAGATCTTTGCCAAACGGTTTCCTTGGTTGGTCAATATACAAATGAAAATAAATGTGTGTGCAATGCATTTAATAACTTGTTTTTCAAAAAGTTATCAAACTCTATTTTTCTAATCGATCAAAGATGGTCAATTTTATAAGGTGAGGAAAGTAAATTTTAACCATGGAAGAAATATGGGAATGGTGTTGTAGTGATTTAGTGGTGTTCTTCTCCATGGTGTTGTAGTGATATAGTGGTGCTCTTCTCCATGGTGTTGTAGTGATTTAGTGTTGTTCTCCATGGTGTTGTAGTGATATAGTGGTGTTCTTCTCCATGGTGTTGTAGTGATTTAGTGTTGTTCTCCATGGTGTTGTAGTGATATAGTGGTGCTCTTCTCCACGGTGTTGTAGTGATATAGTGGTGTTCTTCTCCATGGTGTTGTAGTGATTTAGTGTTGTTCTCCATGGTGTTGTAGTGATATAGTGGTGCTCTTCTCCATGGTGTTGTAGTGTGATATAGTGGTGCTCTTCTCCACGGTGTTGTAGTGATATAGTGGTGTTCTTCTCCATGGTGTTGTAGTGATTTAGTGTTGTTCTCCATGGTGTTGTAGTGATATAGTGGTGCTCTTCTCCATGGTGTTGTAGTGTGATATAGTGGTGCTCTTCTCCACGGTGTTGTAGTGATATAGTGGTGTTCTTCTCCATAGTGTTGTAGTGATATAGTGGTGCTCTTGTCCACGGTGTTGGTGTGATATAGTGGTGCTCTTCTCCACGGTGTTGTAGTGATATAGAGGTGCTCTTGTCCACGGTGTTGTAGTGTGATATAGTGGTGCTCTTCTCCATGGTGTTGTAGGGATTTAGTGGTGCTCTTCTCCATGGTGTTGTAGTGATATAGTGGTGCTCTTCTCCATGGTGTTGTAGTGATTTAGTGTTGTTTTCCGTGGTGTTGTAGTGATATAGTGGTGGTAAATCACTACCACATTAGTTGTTTTCCATAACATTGTGTCTACCTTGTCATCTGTCAACTTCTAAGTAATGTCTATCAAACAATTCATCATTCCCACCCTTCTTCCACTGACCCCAGCATTAATATGGTACATCTGTATGATAAGAGGTATGCAGGTGTAATGTGCAAGGTATGTGAATGACGGCGGCGTGCACATGCAGTGCAGGTGCATCTGCACGGATGTTGCTGGTCAGGTAGACTTCTCTGTGCATATGTGCAGTCCCACCTGTATGCAGGCTCCCGGAACTGTCTTGTTAACTCCTAATCACACCATGTTCTACTGCCATTCCCAAACAACAAACATCAGCTCTATTTGAAACGTCAATTCTTCTGCTATTTCATATTTAAATACACCTCCAAAAAATTATCAACAACATCTAGTAGCACACACAATGTCATTAGGATTTATAGATCTGCCTATAAACCTTTCAAAAGATTACACTAAACTGAAATCTAATTACAAGCCAAGCCATCAGTTCAAATTTCACTTCAAAC